AGATAGATAGATAGATAGATAGATAGATAGATAGATAGATAGATAGATAGATAGATAGATAGATAGATAGATAGATAGATATCTCTACATATTATATTTGTGAAAGTTTGTCACTTTGGCCGCTTAAAACTTCCGAACCGCTTAACTTTCGAATTTGACCAAATTAAAGGTGGTTCAGAATCAGTTTAAGGGTGCACAGTTTTATTGAGGAGCCTGAATTCACTGTAGTTTAATTTTCAGTTTTTCATTAGTTTTGTTTAGATCTAATCTTGGGAAAGTCCGTCTTCTAAGACGCCATTGTAAACAAGTTGGGTTTCCGTTCACTAGCCGTGCGCACTGGTTCCACACATTTGAAATTCTGGAGTGCTCAACCACGAAAACGGAATAGAGAATCAATCTATACACTATTAATATTTGGCAACTTGGAAACAAGAGTCACGTTTCCTATAAAAATACGACAGCTACAGAGTTGAAAGGTAGCAAGTACCTGCAAAAAGATAGATAGGTACCCATGACGGAGCTCATAAAAAAAAAAATTGGGGGGTTATTTATTCATTTCCTGAATTTAGAAACTGAGAAACGAAACAAATCTGCGTAGCTGCCCTTCACAGCGGAAGTGCCGAAGCGATATTTCGAGAGGTGCATTTTGTTTTGAGAGTTTAGATCTAGACCTTTTAACTTTTTGCATCTTTCAAGGTTTATTGCTCCATTCCAGTAGAGTGTAAATATAGTAGGAAAATGACTTTCAGTTGATGGTAATGCACCTATCATTCCTTTCATCAAAAGGGGGCCCTAGCTAGTATTACATATGCATACATAGTCTTTCGCTCGCTCTCTCTCTCTCTCTCTCTCTCTCTCTCTCTCTCTCTATCTATCTATATATATATATTTCTATCTATCTATCTATCTCTATCTATCCATCTATCTCTCTCAATGTGTGTGTGAGAGAGAAAGAGAATGATAAGTGCATTAACATCAACTGAAAGTCATTTTCCTACTATATTTACACTCTACTGGAATGGAGCAATAAATCTTGAAAGATGCAAAAAGTTAGAAAGTTAGAGAAAAAGATAGATAGATAGATAGATAGATAGATAGATAGATAGATAGATAGATAGATAGATTGATAGATTGATAGATAGATTAATAAATAAATAAAAGTCTCGTGTTCCCCTTTGAGGATAATGCTGGGCCTGATGCTGCCCACGTGGTTTCTGTCCATGTGGATCTCCAACACCGCCACAGTCGCCATGATGGTGCCCATAGTGGAGGCTGTGTTGCTGCAGGTCAAGGTCGCCAGACGGAACCAGAGGGGTCAAGGTCAGTACTTGTAGGCCTTAACATGTTATATCAGTTCATATAAAACGTTACTGGGTCATACTATGCCGTACCATGCCATATTATACCATTCCATATCATACCACACCATGCCATACCATACCATACCATGCCAAATATTACCGTCCCATAGCATACCATATATTACCATACCATACCATACCATACCATACCATACCATACCATACCATACCATACTAGACCACACCATACCATACCATACTTTGGGGGCTCTCGTCGTCTCTCATTCAATGGGTCAGGTGTTCGAATCCAGATAGCGACGGAAATTTTTCTTCTCTAAAGTTTTTGTCCTTTCACATTCATCCCTGCTCTCTAACAATTTTCTATCGTCTGCTTTCGTCTCCGGTTTCAACACCACCCCCCACCCCCCACCCAACCTCCTTTGCTCTCTCCTGGCCCCTGACTCTTTCTGTAGCCTTCTCGGACAAGGGCGAAAAAATCTCGGAGATCCTGTGTTCAAGTTGAGGGTCCAAAATCGATAAGACTAGGCTTCGGCCGCCACCCGGCAAAATTCAAAATTTCCCACCGACTTAAAATGTTTAATGTGTCCTGCGTGCTCACATGACCTTATGCAGTTGCGAACGCCGTAATGCACTTATCAAAATATAATTGTGAGGCAGTGTGGTGGAATCAGGCTCTCGTCAATTTTTGGGAAATATTGAGTTATTTGTATCATCTTAAAGCTCGTTCATTTGTCTTGCTTTCAATGAAAAGTTTACCCATCCATCTCAATAAAAAGTGAAGATATTTTGGATTGAAGGAGGTGGGGGTCACCTGGTTAAAGATGTAAAGCTTAGTAATTCTAAAGCTGGAGAGTCCATGGAAACTGTAAATTTATATTTTTGTGCCTTTAATCAACGTTTTCGGTGAAATCCTCAAAGGAATGTGTTTGTAAATGGATAAAAGGTGTTGAGCCCAAAAACAAAAAAATTGATAAAAATTGGTATGCAATGAGAAAACTGCTGTCTTCTTCGATTTCATTATTTTGACGAGAGCCTGATTCCACCATGCTGCCTCACATTTTTAAAAATACCACACCATACCATATTATACCCCCACCACCACACACCATACCGTATGATATTATTATAATCAAAGTCTATGACTTCAACCAGAGACTTCATTGAATTTTTGTCTTCTTTGGTGTAGATGTTAGCCACTGTCTGACTTATCAAACGTGGAAAGACCTGTGTTCAATTCTTGTGTGGCAAGTCCTGTTTTTCAAGCACCTCCCTCTCTCTACCTCTCCTGTCTTCCTCTCTCCCGCTCTCTCATTCTCTCCCTCTCCCCTTCTCCCTCTCTCCCTCTCTCTTTCTCTACATGAGCAACTCCTCAGCAATTGCCACGGACATATCTCGGCCTTTACGCTTTGAATCGAGGCCGGATCACACAGGGGGTTTTGACCAACAAACAGACGAACAGATTGGTTGGCACACACTAGACGACGTGCAACCAGACTCTCCCACCACTGTGGAGTTGCTGCGGTTTGACAACAACGCTCACACACTGACCAGGTGAGGAGAAGAGGCAAACATATCTCGCACCTTTTCAACAAGATAAAATAATAAAACGGTAAATTATATTATTTTATTATGAGGAAAATTGAGATGAC